CCTTCAAAACCCTAGACACACACACACACACACCCTCTCTCGCGGTCTCTCTGTCCGACTCTTCCCTGGCCCCTCTCTCTCCTATCTCCCTGTCGCCTTCTCTCTCTCTCTCTATCTCTGCCTCTCTCTCTCTCTCTCTATATTATCTCTTTCTCACTCCCTGTATACATACATATGTATAAAAATGATTAAGCATGTATATTTATGTAGCAGATGTAGACACACACACACACAAAAAAAAATCCCCCGTTCAACACAGAAGCCAAACCAACACAGACAACGTACAACAGTGACACAATTGTTTTCTAATGAATCTGTTGCAACGGCTCCAAGTAACAGTATAGTGATCACCAGCCACTTCCGGGTCCAAACTTCTACACGTCACCGACTGTAAGTACTGGCACTGTGACACTTTGGGTTTGTTGCACAGGCTCAACCTTCCCTAAACCCTAACCCGAGAACCTAATATAGGGGGCTGAATAATTAGAATCAGAATAGGGCTTCGGAGCGTTTTATACTATAACCAAAATGAGGAACCGACAAAACGGTATAGGTAATTCTTCAGGGGCCTATATTATGTACCCTAAGTGTCGCAACGCTAAATAGTAGGATCTTTATTATGAAGACTCCAAAATAAGGTACCCCTAACTTCGGAAACTCCCATATTTCGCAAAGGCTCAATCTCCGGAATAGTTTCCTCCACCACACGGCCATCTTGGAAGTGTGTCTTGATGTGCTCCTGGGTTTAGGGTTTAGGGCTAAGGTAGAGTTTAGGGTTTAGGGTTTAGGGGTTATAAGGTTTAGGGATTAGGGATTCGGGTTTAGGGATTATAGGGTTTAGGGATTAGGGTTTAGGGTTTTTTTCTGGGGATCCAAAACCCTACTGTCTTAAGGGCTATACCCTCTACTTAAGGGGTCATAACCCTACTAGTTTGTAGGGTTTGGGGATGCAGGCAGGGATATGGTTGAACGGCGTTGGGGTTGCAGAGCTTAGGGTTAATTACAGAGTGTTTAGGGTTTTAGGCTTGAGGCTTCAGGATCTAAGGCTTCAGGTATACCAGAACAATGACGATGAGCGTAAAAACCAGGCACCTCTGCATACCGTTGCAGGTTCACCACATCACGCGCCCCTGGATTTTGGTACCTGCCTTCTCACAAACCATGAACCTTGGACTTAGGAATAGTGTTCGGTTCAGGATTTAGGAATAGTATCACTGATTATGAAATGGTGATACTGTCCCGACTATATATGTAGGGCGGGCTGTGTAGTTCGAAAGTGATTTTGAGGTCTGTTGGCAGAGAGGTTTCAGCAGCTCCCCCCGCCCGGATTACCGGGCCCGATTGCCGGGCTGGGATTCTTTGATGGTTTGGGCCTGGGGCTGGAGGCTTATAGTATGATAGTTTAGGTCTGGAGTTTATGGTTTCTGATTTGGGGTCATAGGCTTTAAGGTTTAGGATTTGGAGCAGGTTTAGGGCTTGCGGGGACCGTCCAAACCTTGCTCTGGCCCAAGGAGTCCTAAGTACTTTGATTCGGCACAGTTACCCAGAACATCATATAGTAATAATTCCTACTATAGAAACCCTACTTAGCCCTACTTTCTACTATATCGACACTTAACACTCGTTTGGCAGGGTTTTGTGCTCAACCACCTTGTGCCTTTGATCATAGCCCTGCAACAAACGTCCACTCAACACACAGACACACACACACACACACTCACACACTCAAACCCCAAAACACCAGCCCCAGGCCACACAAACGGTGAACTCCGTGCGAGCTATATCCTGAAGTCTAGACTCTAGACTGTAAGCGCGAAAGGCTCCGCGCCCAAACTCGATAAAAAAAGGGCTGTGTCGCAAGCCCTAAACTCCTGGAGAACCCAATCAGGTGTCCTGGGTGAAATGAAGTGCAAAAGGGCAAATCAGTTTTTCCTGAGATCAATCGCAGGAAGTGTTGTTTGGGGCTTCAGCACAGTACCTATAGTCTCCATTGTAGTTCCTTTTCTTGGTTAACCAGTTTTATGGTTAGGATCCTATAATAGAGTTTTGGGAGTGTCCGAAAATCAGGGGTACCTTATTTGGGGGTCCTTATAATAAGGATCCTACTATTTAGGGTGCTATAGGAGGGCCCCTATTTTCGGAAACTCCCATTTTGGTTAGACCAAAGAAAGGAACTACAATGGAGACTATAGGTAGGGGCCCCTACCCTGTAATAGTGGTATGATAGGAATATATTAAGGCCCTATTATATTCCTATTATACCACTATTACAGGGTGGGGGGGTTCAGAGGATCGGCTCTGGGTCCCGTGGCCTCCCGGTTCTGAGGGCTTTCGGCGTAACGGTGTGGGGATTGCGAAGGTGGCTCGGTCAGGTGCCGGGGCAGTATACCTATAGGCTCATACCCTACCCCTTTTGCAGGGTACCTAGTTCTTTAGGTAGGATCTGTTATATAGAAAAGTAGGTAACCTAAAAAAATGGTGGGGTATGAGCCTCTAGGTAGTCTGCCTTTGAACACAGCGACACCAGGGGTGATGTTTTTTCGATGAAGACGATGGATTCTGACCATGTTTGGGATGAGGCGGACGATCTGGCTGAGGGATGGTGAACGACAGCAACAACAGCTAATTCGATTACGTATCGTCATCGATACTATTAGCATCATTCTCGAAAACTCATATGCTTCGTTGGCCATTCCCTGGATCAAAATCATATTCATTGATGATGGCGGTGCTGCTACTGTTGACTCAGATGATTCATCGTTGTCACGGGCAATACCACTAGCCCGTGTTGTGAGCACAGTTGACCTGGACACACTGCCAAGATCTGTTTAGTTGAAGCTGAGCAGTGCTTTAGGCTTTGGAGGCAACCCTGAAACCAAAACTTATCCTAAAACTGACACCGCAAACCAACCAAACACACATGAATCCTAAGTCCGAGCGTCTTTGGATTTACTGCAGCATGAGCTGCAGCTTGAAATCCCTGAAATTGTACGTTTACAGACTTCTCCTTGGAAACCCCCTTCCGTGACACCGAAAACTTATTCCGCTTCTTCTTTGAAGACTAGGGTTTCGAGTCGTGCTGAGTGATCCTTCGTGGGCAAGTAGAAGGTAATCTTCCTGGTAATCTGTAGTAACTCTGTACGGCCGTATGGTTGACCGTCCCTTGTCGGACAGATCTAGAAGAGCGCGCTGTGCCTCGTAGATGGGCATCGCCACCGAATTGTCAACGCAGGCGCAGCCGCTGGTATATGCACACCTCAGTTTCCAGGCGCGGATACCGAGTAGCCTCCGACACCTGGGGCATGTGGCTCCATTCTACGTATAATGTAGGAACCTGCTTGAATTAAGAAACCCTGGGCCTATAACTCCAACATAGTAGGATTCATATAAGCAACCTTAACAAAGGCCCAAGGTTTCTTAATCAGGTTCCTACATTAGGCTGTTCAAGAGTCCGCTGGAGAAGATTCGAGCCCCTTCAGGCCTAAACCTAAACCCTCATCCGAAACATTCGAACCACTCGCAAATATCCCGATTGCTCGAGACACCCGTCCGGAGATCCTACACACCACCAACCTCTGCCGTGTGTATATACATGTTATATATCTGTATCTATACCGATACCCAGTAAATGGTTCGCAGTCTGTCTCTCTCTCTCTCTCTCTCTCTCTCTCTCTCTCTCTCTCTCGCTCTGTATGTGTGTATAAATATATAGATATACACGGATATGTTTCTGTATACATATTGTGGATATGTAGAAGTGTCTCTAAATGGATATATATATATATATATATACATATATGTATATACAGATACACACATATGCAGATGACCAACAATCAGAAGTAATCAGCAAGCAAAAGTCGACCAACAAAGCATCCGAGAAGCCGGGAGGGGTGTTGAGAGGCAAGGCCAATTGCACAAGCTCCTTCAAAGGTTACCAAAATGGCTGCAGGGGCCGGCAAGCGAGTTGCACAAATCAAGCTGCAATGGCCTAGAAGCCATAGACGGAGATCTAGTCTAAGGTTGGGAAGTGCGGATGATGCCGATACGCCGTACCTGTAGCCCTGAGACCGAACCAGCAAAGGCCGCCGGCTTCAGCTATCTCTAAACCTTAGGTATTGAAAGAATGGGATTAAAGCTGCAGGACCCTACAAACAGAGGACTGTAAACCCAAAAGCCCTCAGAAACCTCAACACCCTGACCACGCCATGAGGACTCCCCCCGGCAAGCGCGACCCCGAAGCACCGAAAACTTCCAAAGCCCCTTGTGGATGCATGGGTTCTTACACTACTTATGGGTAGCATACTCAACTGCGTGAGGCTGTTATGAAAGTTTTGACCATTTTTCTGCTAAGTGAGGCCAGCGAAGTTAGACTTTACGGGTGATTAGGATGAGGAACTCTACTACAGAGGTGTTAAGCTAAATCCCACAAAACTCTCCACATGTCTCCCAGACCCTACAGCCAAAACCTCCACCCTAAGACAGTGCCAAAAGGCTTGGAACCGCAAACCCTGATGCCTCCACCCTATGAAGTAAACCCTGAACCGAAAACATGCTGAACCCGAGACCGAAACTGAACCTTAAAGCCTACTTGTCGGGTATCATGGGGAACAAAAGGTTAACCTTTTTGGGTATATAGGGATTCTAAAGGGACCATACCAGCCAGAAAGGGTTAAAGGTTGCCTACTCGACTACTAGGAAAGCCTTTATAGACTACAGACGTGATCTAACCCCCACCTACAGTCGTTATTGCGTTTCCTTCTCCCGTCAACCAACCTTATGGTCAAGTCAAAACCGATGCAACCAAAGAGGAGACTAGCATCAAAAGCATCGGTAGCCTATAAACTCTTCTAGCTTCCTGGACTGGTAAAGGAGGACTGAACCCCCTCACCCATAACCTTGAACCCTCAACCTTTAAGAGGCCTTCAAACAAACCCTTGAAGAGGCCCTAAACCCTACACCCTGAACCCTAAACCCTAGACATGAAGCTCTGCGGCCGCCTTGGTGCCAGTGCTGCACGAGAAGCCTCAGCGCGGCCACGGCAGCCACCCAAGGAGGGGGATGCCTGCTTCAGGGCTTCGGGCTTATAGGGTTTAAGGCTTCGGCCCTGTAGGGTTGAGGGTTTCGTGTTTGTGGTTAGTTGCTGTTTTCCAAGGCTCCTTTGTCAGTCTGCACTGTGTATGGGGTTTACCTGGACCCTAAAGAACCTACCCTTTTAGGGTTCCTTACTATGATTTGCTTGTATACGTCCTTAAAAAGGTAGGTTATTCGGGGATACGGTAGGGTTTAAGGCTCAGGGCTTGTAGGGTTTAGTGCCTGGGGGCTTCAGCGCGCGCAAAGGGTAGTACTATGTTGGAGGCTACCCTAATCAGAGTGCTACAATAGGCACGGCAAAAGTTTAGGGCTTAGCATCAAGCGTACCATACATGTACTTTAGGTTACTATAAGCATGTTAGAGGCGCCACAACTTGGAACACAAAGGCTACGCTATGCTACTACCATGGTACTCTGAGGGCAAGGGCCGCTTCGCAGTTCAGGGCTTGGGGAGTGGGGTCTCCGAAATGACGGGTAAGAATCCCAACATAATATAGAGGCCTTAATAATAAGAAAAGGGTTTGGGACCCATTATACCATAATTATAAGGAGCCCTTGGAATAATGTTGGTAATTATTTAGGCCCCTATAGTACCAGACTTTGTGCAAAAGAACATCTCAGGGACAGTCGTACATGGCGTTGACTTTGCATGTAGGGCCCAAGGCTTTGTTGGGTTAATACAATGTAATATAACATAATAACAACATGGTAAGTATAAGAAAATATGATATTCTAGACTAATACAATATTGAACTGTGGTTTAGGCCCGAGGTCCATGCCGCGAAACCCGCCTCGAGAAGGAGCACCCGTCCGGGCGGGGCCGAATTGGCCAAAGACGCAGCTGCGACGAGGCCGCTAAGGCCACCCCCCACGATCACCAGGGCGGCCTCTTCTGTGTGTGCAGTTCTTTCTGCTTTCGGGATGCAGGGGCGGGGTGGTGCATGAGTTTAGGGTGTTGTCCGTTGCTTGCGACAGCTTAAAATTTTTTGTCTTAGAACTTACTTGTGCCATCCCGGGTTGTTCCCTCTTCAACCTTCTGGCTCCCGAACTTTGTGATCAGATCCCCTACAGTAATTTGATCTAAAGAGACAGCACAATCAACGATGCAGCTGGTTTTCCTCATGTTGACCCGTCCTTGTGGTGGATTAAGTTTACAAGAGTGTTCAATGTAGACCCTTGAGTATAAGGCATCTTTGAGGGCTGAGATCGAGACACAAAATAAAGAGGCCAGCTTGGTGGAGCTACCCAAATATCAAAAGGGGCCCTTTCGAGTTCAGGGAACTCTGAAAACTCGCCTCCCTTGCATAACACTTCTGTGTGGTATGCAAGGTGCGGATCACAGTGCTGCTGGAGATCGGGAAACCAAAGCAACATGTACAGTCCCAAAGGGTCCAAGTATCATTATGGTATATACTCAGACCCCCGAAATACCCTATAAGTATATACCAGAATGAAACTTGGACCCTTTGGGAGTTCTTACTGAGGCATGCAGTCTAGCAGCCCGCGAAGATGGGTAAGTTCAAGCTTCGACCCACACATCTGCCAGAATCGCCAAGACAGGGCTTACCTGGACCCTAAAGAACCTACCATTTTTCGGATTCCTTATTATGATTTCCTTATATAAGTCCTTAAAAAGGTAGGTTATTCGGGGTTAAGGTAGGCTTGATAGTATAGTGGGCCCCAAAACCCGATTCTAATTATTAAGGCCCCTTTACCCTAAAACCCCCATGGTAGCCTTCGACAACCACCCACTTAAACCCTAGTGCTCCGGAGCGAAGCTTCGCTCAGCTTTGTTCCGGCCGTGATAAAGAGTAGGCCTGCTAACAGCGCATCTATCGGTGCGTGTATATTGCATGTGGTAAGAAGCCCGGTGATGCCTTTCCATACGGGGCTCCTCATTGAAATTCCTCTACCCCCAAACCCTAGTCTACTTAGTAACGCGCCTATGTTCCACCCCTTCACTTCCCCTTGCAATAGCCTTGATTGGATCATATTATTAGTTTAAACGAATCCAATTCGAGCAGTACGCATGAACCTTCAAACAGCCATCCGGACCACCCACCCGCCCACCCGACAGCCCTCTCAAACCAGGTAGCGGCCTCTGTCGTGTGGGCCATGGCCGCAGGAAGCAGCTACGGCATTTAGCCGCCTTAAACACCGAAGTAGCAGACAAACAGACGGCATAGCTGACAATGACAACTTACCCGTTGCAGGGCCATGATGCGGCAAAACTTCCGGGTAAGTAGCCTTCTGGAGTTTTGTCCTTCAAGGTAGATGTGCTCGTGCGGCCGTCACCGAACTGAGGAATCGCTTATAGATGATGTGCGTTTATCGAATCCAATACTCGTGAATTTGAAGAATGTTCTTTCTGTTCTCGCAAATGGCTCACCCTAACCTCCTGAACCAAAACCCAAACTAACCATGAAGTCTAAACTACATTACTCAAATGACAGCGAGCCAGAGGGTGGCGACAGCGCACCATGCTCGACAAGGTCCTGCTCACCTTGCGACAGTTTGGAAGCACACAAACCCAAAGGGTCCTAGGTACTGTTCTGGGGGATACTTCCCCGATTCATGGTAGTGATTCCGAATCTAGAAACCCTACACTCTACTATAAAGGTACTTTGGACCCTCTGGGAAAGGGCAGACGTGTACAAACCATGGTTCAAATTCCACGGAAACAAGCGTGTGGGCATGCATGCATATGTGCATGCGTGCATATTGTAGGCGATTTTGCAGTATCGCAGAGTGAAAAACACTGAGTTATGAGCACTTAGCTAAGCAGTTCTGCGATACTGGATATAGTTGCTAATTATGCATGTTCAACAAACATACATGTACATATTATATATTTATTATATAAACACGCACACTGATACATGAAATCGCTACTGCATTCAGTTCACGACAGACGTTATATGCGTGCTACGACCACGACACAACGTGTTGGTACAATTGCTGCTCGCATAGAGGTGGATGGACTAGATGTTCTAAACCCTAAACCCTAAAACCTACATCCTAAACCCTAACCCCTAAACCCTAAACCTTAAACCTTGAACCCTAAACCCAGTTCTCTGAAATCTGCTGCTGGTGTCCGGCCCAGGCTGGAGGCCCATTGACTTAAGAACAACACGCGTTGCTTGGCCTCCTGCCCTCTTGCAACTTAAGTGTAGTTTTGACAGATGCAATATTATGAAGTTGCATCGGAGATGAAGATGGATAAGATGTATGACGCAATATTATAGTATACTACAGTAGAGTGTAGGAGGTTATAGCTGTATAGCAATACAATATTTTATGATGTTGAAGAGAGGCCTGCGTGAAGTGATCGTGATATCGAACCCTTAGAACACCCGGTGCCGGCCCTACGAAAATGAACATAGAGGCACTTCCCAACGGGCTTTCATGCGGACTGGAACATCCTGTAATGGGCAAGTATAGTATAGACAGACTCTTGAAAGTATATGGGATACCATACTCAGACAAGATTGTGCATGTAACACGGGGTTTCTAAAGGCAGAAGGCAGTAACCTACTGTAAGGTGGCAGGGCAGAAGGAGCATTGCTGGAGACGCTGAAGGGGCAAGCAAGCCAGGATCTACTCAGTACTCAGATCCTTGAGTTTCCCTGCACTTACCCCAAGGGTCCAAAGGACCCAATAGTTAGGTACTCGGTTTCAGGATAGTAGTTATGTAGGTTAGGATTTCGGAGAGTATATGATTATTAGGTACTTGGACCCTTGGGGTACCTGCTGTTTTGTTACTTAACGTCTGCTCGTGTCTCACAAGACTAGATACTAGTGCGCTTGCCTTGTATCTGCTGGTTCCGAATTCTTTGAAGTTTCAACTCTTACCCTGGCAATCTCTACTGCCGCCCCTCCCTCTTTTTAAAACCGCAGGGAGCAGCAAGGACTAATCATGACTAATCCTTTGCCGCTTCACAATCCTGGTCATGGGCCGCTGTAAGGTGTGGGGTTTGGGTGTCGCGGGGGCCATCCCTGAACCCGAACCCATTCGGTGCATCTTAGCCCAAAGAAGAAACAGCCAAACACAAACATTTGTACATAAGAATGTCCTGAGAGTACAACTGGTTTAACCCCAAACGGAACTACGATGGAGGCCATGGGCAGGCTTTGATTTTCAGTTTCAGGCTGTTTGCCATTTCCCCATACACCCGAAACTACATAAACCTTAAACCATAAAACCCTAGCCATTCCCTCCCCTCAAGACGTCGGTGCACGTTTGCTCTCAGTCCAAAGCTTGGCTTAAGAGGTTCAGATGTCGCAGTGCTGCGTAAGAGGAGCTGTGAAGGATTCCGAAACCCCGCGCGCACTTGATGCCCAGATAGAGATATATCTGCAAGCGAGCTTTCGGAATTTGAGGATCTAGTTTGAGTATCCCGTTTTGATTCGCAGATGTGATGTTGACTTGTGTGAAACAGCACGGTATTGCCTGCTTGCCGAATCGAGCTCAGTGGCCCCACCAAACAACATAACGTCACATTTTTGTCATTTTCGCTAGCAGACCGCAGGTCTGGAGAATTCTCCTACCAGAACCGCACACAACCGTTTGCTCTTGAACTGTCTCTACGAGTAAGGGTCCGTGTACCTGTACAACACGTGATGCTGCAAAATAGGAACCCCTCTCAAGCGAAAGCTCAAAACAGTATAGAGGTACATAGACCCTAAACAGACCATTAAACCCAAAACCCTAAATCCTAAGCCCTTAAACCCCTGAAACCCTGACGCTCTTAACCTGGAACCCATAACCTCCAAAAATCATCCACTAACACCCTAGACAGTCGGTCAGATACGAATAGCAACTTAACACCGTTACAGGAACCTAGACCTGAACCCTGAACCCAAACCTGAATCCTGCGAAAACCTGTAGAAAGGAATAGATATATAACCAGTTGAAGTTATCATAGACTTTGCAATACCATAGACCATACCATACCATAGTATTTTCTATGGTACATAGTGCAACGAAACATATGTACCACAATACAGCTATGTATATATATATATACTGGGATGGGCTTTGGCAGCCCTGAAAATTATTTATGGATCCGGGCTGTTTTTGTGCATCCATGTGAATGCAACACCAAGCAGCAATCACTCACTCTTTTTCTCCCGCGATCATGTGGAATGTGAACAGTGGTAACAAGAAAAATGCGACACTGACACTGGCAGCTCAGACGATGGTGGCCTGCAGGAGCAGGCAGAAACCAAAATCTGGCGTGACACTCTGACAATGGAAGCATTTGACACTCATTCTGTGTGGCCAGTACAATAACACACCCAATGCGCACCCCTCCATGCCTGCTCAAAGTTGACACTGATTTCCAGCTGGTAGGCCTGACATAATAGAAACACGTGACACTCATTCTGTGTGGCCAGTACAATAACGCACCCAAGACGCACCCCTCCATGCCTGCTCCAAGTTGACACTGATCTCCAAGACGAAGGCCTGCCATAGTGGATGCATTTGACACTCATTCTGTGTGGCCAGTACAATAACGCACCCAATACGCACCCCTGCCTGCCTTGTCACAGTTGACACTGATCTCCAGCTGGTAGGTGTGTCAACTTTGAGCACGCATGGAGGGGGCCTATTGGGTCCCAACACACACCCTCCATGCCTGCTCAAAGTTGACACTGATGTCCAGCTGGTAAGCCTGACATTAAGGAGCAATTGACCGGCCAGGACAATAACGCACCCAATACGCAAACCTGCCTGCCTTCTCCAAGTTGACACTGATGTCCAGGAGGAGGACCTGACTTTAATGGATTGACACTCATCGACATCCACTGCACCGTAACTGCTTGTCGACATGGTGACACTTGGCAGAGGAATCATCAACCAAAACAGAGTAGCACCAGCCAGGCG